AGTTTGAGTAAAGTCACCTTGAAACATCTTGAATAGTAAGTACAAAATAGATTAAAGTTGGATACCAGTATTTAAAACCCTTGTACAAGGTTTCAGTTTGAATAAAGTCACCTTGAAACATCTTGAATAGTAAGTACAAAACAGATTAAAGTTGGATACCAAGGTTTCAGTTTGAATAAAGTCACCTTGCAGGAGTTCACAATTAATTTTTCAGTTTCTTAATGAGCTCTTAGATGTTATTTAAATCTTTTTCATCTGAATCAGAAATAATCTATCTCAAACCAGTTCTTTGTTGAAGGAAAATTGGCAGGAATAGTTTACATGTGAAATGTATTTTGATATTGAAATATTTTTCCATATTTAAGTAAAGTTTGTTCGGTTATTTTTTTTCACGTGTGGTTTTTGGTTTATAGTAGAATTGTTTAGTCAGTTAAGCACAAGTACTTAGTTTTACTAAAAAAACAACAAAAAACTCTGATGTTTTTCAGTGCCCAATTTAGGTGGGATGCTGAGTTTATTGAAAATTTTCTTAAACCAGAGATTTCAAACAAGATAGTTTATCACTTTCCCAAACTGAGAGAAAATAGCCTATCTCGAAATATCTTCAGAGACAGGATTCTGGAATGTGTTCGATATGCGAGACAGGTTAGTTTTAAGAGAGATGGCATGCATTATTTGTAATATACACTAATATATGAAGTTTTTTGTTATAAAAAAAACTAGTGATGTGATTCTGAGAGCATTCAAAGTTTGTGGGCCTGGTGGTTAGGGCACATGACTCACAATCTGTTGGTTGTGGGATTGAAACCTGTATCTGGATACGCTTGCCCTTTCAGCTGTGGGGCCATTATAATGTAGTGGTCAATAACATTATTCGTTTGTAAAGAGTAGTTAAACAGTTGGCAGTGGGTGGTGTCAACTAGATGTCGCTCCTCTGCTCTGTCATTTCCAAATTAGGGACGGTTAGCACATTTAGCCCTTGAGTAGCTTTGTGCAAAATTCAACGAATGTATAAACAATGTGTAAAGCAGTGCATTATCATGTTTATGAAAGAAAAAAGTGTAATATTTAGATGGCCAATCTTTAATGTCAGGAAATGCTGCAAGCTGCTCTCTTCCAAGCTAGAATAGAAACTTTTAATATACTAGTATTTACAAGAGAATCTTTACTAGGAAGTAATCTCATACTAGACTGACAGGTAACCAAAATGCTGAAGATAGAAAAAAAATTGTAGAATGTTTTAACAAATAATAAATAACATTGAGGTGTTAAAAAGGAAAGAACTCATTTAACAGTAAGAGCTGTCATTGGACATGTGGTTGACTACCTAATTAAGACTCTCATGCACACACACACACACACACACACACATTTGTAGAACACTCCACTTATTTTCACATGCAAAATAAATGGATTGTGGATTGTGTAAGCAAATTCCTATAAATGTAAAGGTGTAGCTAGTCCTGGTTAATCTGCAAGATAATTGGTAAGAGCAAGGATATTTCTGACTTTCAAAGGAGTGTGGCAGTTGATACCAGTCTAGAAGGAGCATTGTTATGTAAGGGGGGTATTTAGACAGGTTACTCTTATAGGAGTCTTTACTATGACTCTGTTGATTCAAAGATTTTCCAAAGAACTTTATTATTATGTTTGGGGGTTGGGGTAATTTTTAGGAGTCTATCAACTTGAATATTCTATTTTCAAAGAAGCTCTCAAGTAGTAATGGAAAATTTGTATCATGAGAATGTGATGCTTCTTTAGTATCATGTGACTAATAAATATTTGATTTAATCATCGATTGAAACAATGTTTTTTGGATTTTTTTTCAGCAACAACAGATTTACCTGACTGTTTTGAATATCCACAGCCACCTGTGCAACCTGAAAAACTTGGACCAATATATACTTCAGGCCCTCTTTAAATGTAATAATGATTAGTTTTAGTTTCTATTAAGATGATTTAGTGTCAATGTAAGCTTTTATTTTTTAACAGTTTTACATAAACTAGGATAATGCTGTAGTTCTAGGTGTTTTTATTTGAGTTTTACAAAGGTAGTTATTCCTAGTTTAAGACATTAAGTTTCAGTTGAAATAAGGTAATTGTCATCATAATTTGTTAATGTTTTGGCTTATTCAATGGTAGATGTTTAACTTTGTCACTGTGGGTAGGTCAAATCACATATGTCATGACATTTTTAGAGTTACATTGAAACTTTAATTAAACTACGTTGTTATCAGTGCATATGAATAAACATGGAATCAAAACATAGTTAATAAATAAATCAAATTTTAATATTATATAAGTTTTAATTTCTTAATTTTATCAGGAAATATATAAATAAATCCTTAATCTTCCCTTGTATGAGAATCGTGACATTTATTCTCTAGGTCTTCCCTTACACTAATTTATTTACCACCCCTCACTGAAGTACAGAGTTTAAAATAAATTACTCATTATAATATGTATATATTACTAAGGCAAAATCTAATTTTTATAGTCTTCAATCTTATTTGTTTATGGAGTCATAAAATAAAAGATCAGACCCCCTTGCCATGCTCACATGTCACATCTTTTCCTTTACAAATTAACAATAATTCTCTCTCTGTCGATTTACATTATATTATTTATAACCAATAGAAAGGTAAAGTTTTGATCTATGGAATGGTGTATAATTGTACGTTGTTTTCAGTACAGAGTATTGTCTAATTCATCTTCAGTTTGAAAGTTTATCTTCTGGTGTTCAGATCAAGCAGCTTAGGTAATTATTTTAAGTCACTTTTGCTTTAGTTAGGTTATAATAGTTATAGGACATTGTTGCTTTGTGCATGTTATTATTTTATGTTATTGGGTGCATTATTTAAATTATTTACTAGTATCATCATTACAAAAAAAAAAAGTAGGCTTAAATTTTATTGGTAACAGACAGCAAATAACAAGAGGTCAAAGGTATGTACTAAATGTTTTTGTTTTTCATGTATATTTTTAATTTATTCTTTAAAAAAAGTAACTAAAATGTAATAAAAATTAGAAACTTATTAGATTAGGTAAGATAATGATAAGTAATAATTATGCCATTCAATATAGTAACATGATCTATGCATTTGCTGAGTGATTTACAACTTGTGTGGTGGGATTATTAGTTAAACATGGTTCAGAGGGAAATAAAACTATACAATTAATTAGAAATAAATGTATACAGTTGCAAATTTTAAGCTATTTAGGATAAACGATTGTAGTTTTTTTTTTGTTACACTCTGCAGTCATTCTAGAAAGAAAATGGGGTAATTTATAAGGTTTTACTGAGAAAAGTTTGATATATATTTAGGAGGTTTTAAAGGTTACCTAAATGAGGTTTGAAAATTTTCAAATGAAGAAAGGTATTGTTAAAGTTAACTGGAAAATCACTTTGCATTTGAAACAGTCAACACTCTGACTCCATATATTCATGGGCAAATCTTTAGTAAAATACTTAATGAAACATTGATTGTGTTGTGTACAAAAGACTTGTAATATTTGCTAAAAGCTTTCCAAACTGTGTGAAGATACCATATTAAAAGTTATAGTATGGAAATGCTTATGGTTACTGAAATCCACTGACCCCATATGGAAAGAATTAAAGTTTATGCAAATAGAAATTTCTACTGATACTTTATCATTTTAATTAGTAAAATCTATTAGTTTTAGATCAATAACCCTGGTCTACAAAATTTAACTATTTTTCTCTTGTCAAAGATGTAAGCACACTTTTCTATACCAGTTTTTCACGCTGATTCCAAATCTGTTTTCGGATTTCTTCTAGCATATCTAGTTATAGAAATACGACTAGTGTTAATTTCAGCACAATTTAGGTTATAATCACACATTAGGCTAGTTAACGTTACAACTTTATTCATTTTTCAGTACAAACGTTATACACACCATACATTTGGTTAAATTTATACAGTACACACTTATGAAAAAAGAAATGTACAACAACTTGAATTATAATTCAGGCAATAAACTTTCAAAATTGATCAGTCTCATCACGAAAACTTAACGTGCTAGAAGAAAACCAAAACAGATTTGGATTCAGCATCCCAAGAGCTATCTAGCCCACCCATAATTATATCTGGTGAAAATGACTTGTTGTCCAGTGTAATTCTTACAGAAAGTTTAGTCTGAACTTGTGAAAGATCATTCTTGCACAAAACGCATGAAATATATGAAAATTAAACATAAGGTACCTCGTAAGACTAACAAAACCTCAGCAACAATTTGTTAGTTGTTTAGAGCAGGTTTATTTTAAAGATACAATTAGTCCTTAATATAGAAATTTATGTAATTTCATTATCTAGCATGTGAGGGTGCTCCAAAAATTATCAATTAAGAAACAAAAACTTGTCTCAAAAAGATACATCCAAAAACCACTCTCTTCTGGAGTTTCCGGATAGAATTTAATTTTAATATTCAACAAATTGTAGTGTAAAGACACCCCCTTGGCTCCTGAGGGATGTGTTAAAACATTTTTGGCCTTTCTGCTCATTAAAGGTTAATAGTACAAAGAAAAATTTGCAAGGTTTTTTATAGTTGTTGCCTGAATAAAAAAGATATATATAGTTAAGTCCTTGTTGGGGTTAAGAAAAACATTGCTAAACAAATGGTATATGAAGTAATTGTGCTAATTATCCTTTTGACAAATGCTTTATTGACTCTTTTTTTTTTTGCCACTTGCGTGACAGTTTAATTTTTTGATATTTATAAAAATGGAAAAATATATTTTTAGCCCAAAAACCAGAGAAAAACAACTGGCATGAGCAAATGCAGAAGGATCTGTTTCTAACGTTGGACTGGAACAATCCACATGTAGCTCTGACTGAAGTTTTCAGTAAAGATCCTTCTGATAAACTCAAGGTAATTCTTATAAAGTTGTTTATAGTGGATGGAACTATATATTTTCAAAATAAATGCATACACACACACACACACACACACACACACGCAAACTGAATTATTTTTTTCGTTGATAATGCTCTTTGACAAAACTTTTTAGGTTTCTTGTATGGTATGAGAAACTGTGTAACAAGATGATAACCATGAATAGGTTTTCACTTTTGTTACTTTTTTCAGTAGGTTTACATTATTGTAAACTTGTATTACGAGTATTGTATCTTTATAACAACTTAAACATTCTAATAAACATGTTTCGTTTCACAGATGGCTTGGGTATAGTTATTGCGTAGAGCTGGGGTTCAAGTGGTCAAATATTTGAGTATTATGTAAGAGTTGGGGTCAAGTGGTCAAATATTTGAGTATTATGTAAGAGCTGGGGTTTAAGTGGTCAAATATTTGAGTGTTGTGTAAGAGCTGGGGTTTAAGTGGTCAAATATTTGAGTATTATGTAAGAGCTGGGGTCGAGTGGTCAAATATTTCAGTGTTGTGTAAGAGCTGGGGGTCAAGTGGTCAAATATTTGAGTGTTGTGTAAGAGCTGGGGGTCAAGTGGTCAAATATTTGAGTGTTGTGTAAGAGCTGGGGGTCAAGTGGTCAAATATTTGAGTGTTGTGTAAGAGCTGGGGGTCAAGTGGTCAAATATTTGAGTGTTGTGTAAGTCCAGAAAGGGCTTTGTGACAATGGCTGCTGCACTCTAACTTCACTCTCACTGTTTAGTAGCTCAGCATTAGGGATGTCTATATCTAAAATTGAGGGGGGGATCTCTTACGCTGGCTGTTTGGCCATTTTAAGACATGATTCGCCAGTTCAGTTTTAAAATTCCAATTCCTTTTTACAGATCACCAAAGATATTTTTGAGCAAGCCTTGTTACGGCCAGAAAGAGAGGAGTTTATAAACCTGTTTCTGAGTCAAGGTTTCCAAGTTCACAAATTTTTGACACCTCGTCGGCTGAAATCTCTCTTCATAAGGGTTCAGCATCAGGAATTTTTTCATTCTGTTTGCTGGGAAAGTATCCTGGGCCATGGTATAGTAAGTATTTTATAGTAGTTACTTATAGTTTTATTGTATATTTCATTGATACTGTAACCAGAAACTTGTGAAGGCATAGTTCTTATTTGCCAAAATGATAAAAATAACAACAACAAAAATTTACCTAAAAAATTTTTTTTTCTTTAGATTTAAATATTCTTTATTTAATTGTTCCTTAAATACTGTTGAAATGTTGAAAGTTAATTCTAAAGATTAGTAATATTTTCTTACTAAAACTGAAAGTCTATCTTATGTTGTAG